GCTGATGAGAGCATTTTGTAGTTCAACAAGCTTCTGCACAGTGGACAGCCTTCCATAGAAGGAAGCTTTGTGAAGCACTGAGAGTCCCATGTCTGTCCGAATGCTTAGGTCTGCTCTGTCATCCACCAGCAACTCGACAACCAAAGTGTGTCCGCAAAGAGCGGCATAATGAAGAGGTGTGTTATTTCGTTCGTCTTTAGCATTAGAATCGGCTCCATAATAGACCAACAGTTTGACGAGAATGGCATCCCCTCTGAGAGCAGCATAGTGCAAAGGTGTGTGGTGGGTAGGAGTTTCACTTTTAGCATCTGCATCCTTCGTTAGGAGCAACCTAACAACTTCTGTATGACCTGCCAGTGATGCACAGTGGAGGGGTGTATTTCCCTCAGGTGAAATAGTTTCTGGGTTCCTAAGAATATATATATATATATATATATATTATATATATGTAATACTTTAGCAGTATCACATTTTAACATCCTACATGTATATCAAAACACTTTTATGTGTGTGTGTGTGTGTGCAAATACCTGCTTCGTTTTGTCTATTTCGCTCTCTATGTCTTTTGCAGCCTCCAGGTAGCCTTTCTCCCGGGCGAGCTCCGAGGGTGTCTTGCCATCGTGGGTGTGGGCGGTGGGCAGGGCGCCGCGCTCCAGCAGAACCCGGATTTTGGGTCGGTCGTTCTGCTCCGCGGCCACGTGGAGCAGCGTCAGGCCCTGCTCGTCTTGGTAGTGCATGTCGCAGACGCCGAAGTCAATGGCAGTGGCTACAGCTTTCGCGCTGGCGTTCTTCTTTCTACAGTAAGTGTGGTAGAAGTCTCCGCTCAGATTGTACTGACTCATACAAATATTCTGAAATGTAAAATAATCGGTTGTATATCATACATATGAATTAATACTGCTCTGTGACTTAACATATTTAATTCGTATTATGATTTCCTCAGAAAGTAGTTCACTTACCATTAAGTGTTTCTGATCTTGTAAAGAAGTTTGACATGATTTTTTGTTGAGCCACCAGGCTGTGTGAACATGACCGCGGATAAGAGCTGTGTCTTCTGCACTCATTTTTTTCTTGTCACGCATGCTGATGAGAGCATTTTGTAGTTCAACAAGCTTCTGCACAGTGGACAGCCTTCCATAGAAGGAAGCTTTGTGAAGCACTGAGAGTCCCATGTCTGTCCGAATGCTTAGGTCTGCTCTGTCATCCACCAGCAACTCGACAACCAAAGTGTGTCCGCAAAGAGCGGCATAATGAAGAGGTGTGTTATTTCGTTCGTCTTTAGCATTAGAATCGGCTCCATAATAGACCAACAGTTTGACGAGAATGGCATCCCCTCTGAGAGCAGCATAGTGCAAAGGTGTGTGGTGGGTAGGAGTTTCACTTTTAGCATCTGCATCCTTCGTTAGGAGCAACCTAACAACTTCTGTATGACCTGCCAGTGATGCACAGTGGAGGGGTGTATTTCCCTCAGGTGAAATAGTTTCTGGGTTCCTAAGAACATTTAATATAGGCTTTTCCCCTCCGTATCTTGCATATGTAAGAAGTGTTTCATTTGTTGCAGTTGGACTGTTTACATCAATACCTTCCCAGTCAGACAATATTTTCACGACATCGATCTCTCCAGTTAATGCAGCAAGATGAAGTGGAGTGTCACCAGCAGCATTAGAGAGATTTGGGTCACATCTCTTAATCAGTAGTAATTCTACAACTTCGGTATGTCCTTCATAGGCTGCATAGTGAAGTGGAGTGTTATTGGTAGCACTGGTGAAAGCAGAGATATCTCCGCCATTTTCTAACAATCTAAGCACCTCGTCAGCAAATCCATCTCTTGCTGCTTTGTGTATGTTCTCCATGTTCTTTGTTTCCAGTATTTCTCTACCCTCAGTCATCTCGATACCATCATGTGGCGATAGATGTGACAAATCATTTTCTTTTTGCAGCTTAGGTAAGGGCCAGCAATTGCTATGAGCTGATTTTACTTCACCAACCCCAGTGTCAGTCTTCTCTGCAATAGGATGAAAGCCACCTGAAAATGGTAAAATGTTCATTGAGATGCCATGGTATCAAAGTACCCTCAACATGGGTGTGAGTACACATGGTGGGTGTACACATAAAAGACTATGTATATTCACTGTTTATTCTTCACCCACCCCACCCGGAGTATATAAATCTAGACAGATTGTATTTCGCCTTATGCTTCATTGACACTGTATTTTTTAAAGTTCCAAGATAATTATAAGCATAATCAAAACAGTAGATCCATTTATATGTAGATATCCATTTATACATTTATAACTAACTGCTACTGTTGCAAAGCCACCATAGCCTTACTGACACTATTTGCTTGTCCCTATAGCTCTCGAGACATCTAGGATATTCTACAATTCCTGATGTCCAACAAGTAGACATACTTGCGCTTACATACCATTACATTATCTCTATAACTAAATTTTCTATCACAATTGAATATTACCTAGCTACACAGTCCAAAGTGATGCCCATGTCATGTTAAGCAGTTTTTGCCACACCATTCATCATGCATTAACCACCTTTAGTTGTAATATTGCTTGTCCTCACCTCCAGATTCCCTAGAAACATTATTCGTTCTTAGGATGTTCTCTTCCAAACTAGACATGCTGGCAGCTGTGACTTCTTCATGCTCCTTGCCAAATTGTGAGTCATGTTTGTCCTCAGAATCACTATCTTCAACTTGAAACGTATCTTGTATGGGAAGAGATGTTTTGTTACTCCATGGTTACATCCTTTAGTTCAAAGTATGAACATAAGAGTTCAAAATATGAATATCCTATTTAGAAAAGTGCTCTTAATTTGAAATGTTTAGACTTAAATTAGATAAGCAATGTATATTTGGTCAAATCAATTACTTTTTTTTCATTATAATCCCCATTTTTCTTTATCCTTTTCTCTCCTTCTTATCCACCCTTTCCCTCCTTATTCCCATTTTCTTTCTTCCTCCTTCTTCTTATCCCTCACTTTCTTCCCTTCCCTCCTTAGTATTCTCATTTCTCCTTTCTTTCTCTTTCCTCTTTATCCCTTCTTTTCCTCCTGATCTTATACACGTGTATTTACTATACATGCAAGTATACATTGTACATGCTTGTATACACATGTGTTTAAGATAAGGAGGAAAGGAAGGGATAAGGAAAAGAGGGAAGGACAAGGTCGAAAGGAATTTTAAATATCAAAATCCTCAGTCTCTGGGACCAAGCAAAGCAAAGGCTATTTTCATGCTGGGATCAGACCTTGAGCCATGGGAACCAATAGATATCTTGTGGTGAGCTCAGTCTCAACCGGATGGCGACTGTATCACTGAGGACAGTTGCTCCAACCCAACCAGTATCTACCTACCTACACTGATCGCATCACTACCAGGTCTATCCACTTCCGAGAAGGCAGCCACCTTAACTCTTAGCTGCTTCGGTACCTTGGTAATCGATCACCCTGTCACAAAGACCGGATTTTCCATGCTCTTACCAGTACATCCTTCCTGAGGTAAACCTCAGGCAGTCACTCTGGGTGGATGCCACCTTTGCCACCCTGGTCGATGTTGCCCTCGTGTAAAGGGAGGCAGTGGGCTGTGGGGGCCAATGTCAACCTGTGAGATTCCCTTGGGTTCTGCCCCACAGTCCTCATACCAGGTTGCATTCATATGGGCTGGCAAGGCCCTTCTCCACCCATTAAACCTGGCGGGCTGGAGGGCTGTCCGGCAGGCCATAACTCTGTACCTCTAGTGTCTCCTGCTGCTCCAATTCAGTTACATATATGTGTGTGTGTGTGTAGATAGATAGATAGACATAGATAGATAGATATACATATACATGTATACACAGAGTCCTGATATATCCCCACTGAAATTCCCTAGGGGGTTATGATGGCAAGATTTTGCAAGGGAGACACATTAACTGTTTCTATTTCTTTTTGAACTCGATTCGCTGTCAACTGCATCTTCATTATGATCCTCATTAGCAGTTTCAGCAATTACATCACCAATTTTAGGGGTCACACAGTCATGTTGATCCATATCCATAGCAGAAATGGGCAGTTAGTTATTCTACGAACCTTCGTTTATGCCTGTTACACAAAAAGTTATCAAGTATTATATGTCCAGTGTAATGAGAACACCTCTCAGAACAGTTGAATCATGGAGCCGACATGCTCTAACCAGATTCTTTAAACCAAATGAGTTTGATCTTGCTATACAATCAACAGTGATACCCATGCCATATAGCCATCAGTCTTCTCATATTGCTTACCCTCATCTCTGGATTCCCTATAAGTACCATTGCTGCTTGTGTCATTCCCTTCTGAAGTAGATTCGCTCATTGTGATTTCTTCATGGTCCACATCATGGTCATTTTCTTCTCTGTCCTCAACTTGAATCATGTCTAGAAAGGGAAGAAATATGTGTTATTTTTGTTCACTTCAGTAAGTTTAAAATATGATTATTTTTCCATAAAATGCTTTTTGTGCTACTTGTTTACATTTTACCATATATAACTAATTCTTGAGTAAATTCATACACAGATGTGTTAATGTTTACGGATTATTTGTTTAGAACAAAATCTCTTCAAAATATCTATCACTAATGCAAAAAGGACAAGGAAAACTGGCACCCCTTTGATGAGCAGCACAGATAAGTTCTGACTGTAGTATCATCACATCTAGATACTCATGGCAAGTCAGGATGGTCTAAACCTATAAATAATTATGTGTGTCACTGTATCACATACATAAAATCTGTGTCTGTATATGAAATCTGACATATAGTGCTTACTGAAAATTCGGTAAAGAAATCCAGAAATGTGATTTTGACCTTAATTACAAAACATGTACACTAGGCACAGAAGGAATTTACAGTTTAGAAGTATTGTTAATAACACAGTATACTCTGACTTTTTGAACAACTCGAGTCATTAACAAGAACCAATGTATGCATGTATGTGGTGAGTTTCCTGGGGGGAGGACTGTTAAGGCCCACCTCCCTCAAACCACCCATTTACCCCAGGGGGACTGAGACTGTCCACACACCAGTGGGCCATGACTCCATACCTCTGGGTCCTCTTGATGCTCCAAGATCTCTGCAGATGACTGCAGTCCACTTAGTGGATGGACAGATCATCTCAGGTTATGTATTTTGAGTATTTTGAGGTGCTGTACCAGGTAGACCCTCCATCAGTTACTTTAAATGTAAGTGGTATCATAATACTTGTGCCAGACCCACCCATCAGCAAGAAACCTCCTACCCTAACTGAGGTTAGAATGGCAATTTCTAAGCTAAGGGCTGGGAAAGCCACAGGTATATGTGATATTACTGCTGAACTGAACTGCTAAAGGCTTTCCCTCCTTATTCCCATTTTCTTTCTTAATCCTTCTTCTTATCCCTCACTTTCTTCCCTTCCCTCCTTAGTATTCTCATTTCTCCTTTCTTTCTCTTTCCTCTTTATCCCTTCTTTTCCTCCTGATCTTATACACGTGTATTTACTATACATGCAAGTATACATTGTACATGCTTGTATACACATGTGTTTAAGATAAGGAGGAAAGGAAGGGATAAGGAAAAGAGGGAAGGACAAGGTCGAAAGGAATTTTAGATATCAAAATCCTCAGTCTCTGGGACCAAGCAAAGCAAAGGCTATTTTCATGCTCGGATCAGACCTTGAGCCATGGGAACCAATAGATATCTTGTAGTGAGCTCAGTCTCAACCGGATGGCGACTGTATCACTGACGACAGTTGCTCCAACCCAACCAGTATCTACCTACCTACACTGATCGCATCACTACCAGGTCTATCCACCTCCGAGAAGGCAGCCACCTTAACTCTTAGCTGCTTCGGTACCTTGGTAATCGATCACCCTGTCACAAAGACCGGATTTTCCATGCTCTTACCAGTACATCCTTCCTGAGGTAAACTTCAGGCAGTCACTCTGGGTGGATGCCACCTTTGCCACCCTGGTCGATGTTGCCCTCGTGTAAAGGGAGGCAGTGGGCTGTGGGGGCCAATGTCAACCTGTGAGATTCCCTTGGGTTCTGCCCCACAGGCCTCATACCAGGTTGGTGGTATGGGATACATGCAGGACAAGTAACCATCAATCCCATCCTGCACCCCAGCAGCACCTTCCCGATAGGACCCACAGCCCAGCTCACTTTGTGAGAGGGGCAGTATCCCTCCCCTTGCATTACCATGTACAATTGAACTGTTAGTATTTTTTTCTTTGGGCATAGGGGCTGGCAAGGCCCTTCTCCACCCATTAAACCTGGCGGGCTGGAGGGCTGTCCGGCAGGCCATAACTCTGTACCCCTAGTGTCTCCTGCTGCTCCAATTCAGTTACATATATGTGTGTGTGTGTGTAGATAGATAGATAGACATAGATAGATAGATATACATATACATGTATACATAGAGTCCTGATATATCCCCACTGAAATTCCCTAGGGGGTTATGATGGCAAGATTTTGCAAGGGAGACACATTAACTGTTTCTATTTCTTTTTGAACTCGATTCGCTGTCAACTGCATCTTCATTATGATCCTCATTAGCAGTTTCAGCAATTACATCACCAATTTTAGGGGTCACACAGTCATGTTGATCCATACCCATAGCAGAAATGGGCAGTTAGTTATTCTACGAACCTTCGTTTATGCCTGTTACACAAAAAGTTATCAAGTATTATATGTCCAGTGTAATGAGAACACCTCTCAGAACAGTTGAATCATGGAGCCGACATGCTCTAACCAGATTCTTTAAACCAAATGAGTTTGATCTTGCTATACAATCAACAGTGATACCCATGCCATATAGCCATCAGTCTTCTCATATTGCTTACCCTCATCTCTGGATTCCCTATAAGTACCATTGCTGCTTGTGTCATTCCCTTCTGAAGTAGATTCGCTCATTGTGATTTCTTCATGGTCCACATCATGGTCATTTTCTTCTCTGTCCTCAACTTGAATCATGTCTAGAAAGGGAAGAAATATGTGTTATTTTTGTTCACTTCAGTAAGTTTAAAATATAATTATTTTTCCATAAAATGCTTTTTGTGCTACTTGTTTACATTTTACCATATATAACTAATTCTTGAGTAAATTCATACACAGATGTGTTAATGTTTACGGATTATTTGTTTAGAACAAAATCTCTTCAAAATATCTATCACTAATGCAAAAAGGACAAGGAAAACTGGCACCACTTTGATGAGCAGCACAGATAAGTTCTGACTGTAGTATCATCACATCTAGATACTCATGGCAAGTCAGGATGGTCTAAACCTATAAATAATTATATGTGTCACTGTATCACATACATAAAATCTGTGTCTGTATATGAAATCTGACATATAGTGCTTACTGAAAATTCGGTAAAGAAATCCAGAAATGTGATTTTGACCTTAATTACAAAACAAGTACACTAGGCACAGAAGGAATTTACAGTTTAGAAGTATTGTTAATAACACAGTATACTCTGACTTTTTGAACAACTCGAGTCATTAACAAGAACCAATGTATGCATGTATGTGGTGAGTTTCCTGGGGGGAGGACTGGTAAGGCCCACCTCCCTCAAACCACCCATTTACCCCAGGGGGACTGAGACTGTCCACACACCAGTGGGCCATGACTCCATACCTCTGGGTCCTCTTGATGCTCCAAGATCTCTGCAGATGACTGCAGTCCACTTAGTGGATGGACAGAACATCTCAGGTTATGTATTTTGAGTATTTTGAGGTGCTGTACCAGGTAGACCCTCCATCAGTTACTTTAAATGTAAGTGGTATCATAATACTTGTGCCAGACCCACCCATCAGCAAGAAACCTCCTACCCTAACTGAGGTTAGAATGGCAATTTCTAAGCTAAGGGCTGGGAAAGCCACAGGTATATGTGATATTACTGCTGAACTGAACTGCTAAAGGCTTTCCCTCCTTATTCCCATTTTCTTTCTTAATCCTTCTTCTTATCCCTCACTTTCTTCCCTTCCCTCCTTAGTATTCTCATTTCTCCTTTCTTTCTCTTTCCTCTTTATCCCTTCTTTTCCTCCTGATCTTATACACGTGTATTTACTATACATGCAAGTATACATTGTACATGCTTGTATACACATGTGTTTAAGATAAGGAGGAAAGGAAGGGATAAGGAAAAGAGGGAAGGACAAGGTCGAAAGGAATTTTAAATATCAAAATCCTCAATCTCTGGGACCAAGCAAAGCAAAGGCTATTTTCATGCTCGGATCAGCCCTTGAGCCATGGGAACCAATAGATATCTTGTAGTGAGCTCAGTCTCAACCGGATGGCGACTGTATCACTGACGACAGTTGCTCCAACCCAACCAGTATCTACCTACCTACACTGATCGCATCACTACCAGGTCTATCCACCTCCGAGAAGGCAGCCACCTTAACTCTTAGCTGCTTCGGTACCTTGGTAATCGATCACCCTGTCACAAAGACCGGATTTTCCATGCTCTTACCAGTACATCCTTCCTGAGGTAAACCTCAGGCAGTCACTCTGGGTGGATGCCACCTTTGCCACCCTGGTCGATGTTGCCCTCGTGTAAAGGGAGGCAGTGGGCTGTGGGGGCCAATGTCAACCTGTGAGATTCCCTTGGGTTCTGCCCCACAGGCCTCATACCAGGTTGGTGGTATGGGATACATGCAGGACAAGTAACCATCAATCCCATCCTGCACCCCAGCAGCACCTTCCCGATAGGACCCACAGCCCAGCTCACTTTGTGAGAGGGGCAGTAACCCTCCCCTTGCATTACCATGTACAATTGAACTGTTAGTATTTTTTTCTTTGGGCATATGGGCTGGCAAGGCCCTTCTCCACCCATTAAACCTGGCGGGCTGGAGGGCTGTCCGGCAGGCCATAACTCTGTACCTCTAGTGTCTCCTGCTGCTCCAATTCAGTTACATATATGTGTGTGTGTGTGTGTGTAGATAGATAGATAGACATAGATAGATAGATATACATATACATGTATACATAGAGTCCTGATATATCCCCACTGAAATTCCCTAGGGGGTTATGATGGCAAGATTTTGCAAGGGAGACACATTAACTGTTTCTATTTCTTTTTGAACTCGATTCGCTGTCAACTGCATCTTCATTATGATCCTCATAAGCAGTTTCAGCAATTACATCACCAATTTTAGGGGTCACACAGTCATGTTGATCCATACCCATAGCAGAAATGGGCAGTTAGTTATTCTACGAACCTTCGTTTATGCCTGTTACACAAAAAGTTATCAAGTATTATATGTCCAGTGTAATGAGAACACCTCTCAGAACAGTTGAATCATGGAGCCGACATGCTCTAACCAGATTCTTTAAACCAAATGAGTTTGATCTTGCTATACAATCAACAGTGATACCCATGCCATATAGCCATCAGTCTTCTCATATTGCTTACCCTCATCTCTGGATTCCCTATAAGTACCATTGCTGCTTGTGTCATTCCCTTCTGAAGTAGATTCGCTCATTGTGATTTCTTCATGGTCCACATCATGGTCATTTTCTTCTCTGTCCTCAACTTGAATCATGTCTAGAAAGGGAAGAAATATGTGTTATTTTTGTTCACTTCAGTAAGTTTAAAATATAATTATTTTTCCATAAAATGCTTTTTGTGCTACTTGTTTACATTTTACCATATATAACTAATTCTTGAGTAAATTCATACACAGATGTGTTAATGTTTACGGATTATTTGTTTAGAACAAAATCTCTTCAAAATATCTATCACTAATGCAAAAAGGACAAGGAAAACTGGCACCACTTTGATGAGCAGCACAGATAAGTTCTGACTGTAGTATCATCACATCTAGATACTCATGGCAAGTCAGGATGGTCTAAACCTATAAATAATTATATGTGTCACTGTATCACATACATAAAATCTGTGTCTGTATATGAAATCTGACATATAGTGCTTACTGAAAATTCGGTAAAGAAATCCAGAAATGTGATTTTGACCTTAATTACAAAACATGT